TTGGACCTCAAGAGGAACTCCATGTGTGGAAAGTGTTGTGTTCTGGAGATCTGAAACCACCACTCCACAGAGACCCAGGCTCCAGACCTTTAACAATTCTTCCAATTGTTCCAATCCTTCCAGAGATAAGGATCTCTGTTTCTTCTCCATACATCAAGGCCTTAGAAGAACCTCAAAGCCCGGACACATTGCAAAACTCCAAGAAACCTAGTTTTAATTTCTCAAGTATCTTTTAGAAGTTCTACACACTGCAATTAGATGTACGATCCATTTGGAATTCATTTGTGGAGCTTGTGTTGGGTTGCATTCTACTACTAATCTATGATGGAGAAGAATAGAGTTGGTGATATAAATGATTTACCAATGCTAGGAAATAGTAAGTCATAGAAAGTTTAACCAAAGACTAAGAGCAACCGAAGAGATCAACCGAAGAGATCGCACGCCACAGACATTAGACCTAAGTATACATGAGATGTTATCTAGACAAACAATCTCACTGATATTTTCTTTTTTCACAAAATGATGTTGCACATGTGAGATGTCTGACCTTGGCTCCAAATGATACTACTTTTTCTCACCCTATAAAGAAGTAGCATGGAAAGGGCATCAAGCTAAATTTTGGCTGATGAAACAGCTAAGAAAGGGTGTAAAAGCTGATTGAGGGTCCATCACTCTGGAAGAAATATCTAATAGATAGAGGCTACTCTAAGCCCACCAAGAACATCTTATGAACTTTAGGCAGTTTAATTCTTTCCAGAAACAAATAAGGAATTCCTTTCCTGTACATACCTGAGAGTCTGGAATATACAAGGGGCCTGCTGAAAAGTTATCCCAATACCGCCACCTGGTACACCAAATTCAGGTGCCAGATTAGTCATTGTTCCAATCCCATAATGGCAGTTAGGGTTACCTTTGCAGAGGAAGGTGGGAAAAGGACTGGAGGTAGAAATCAACAAGGCAGTTTAAGGTAAAAAGACCCACAAATAAAACTAACCAGTTGCTTTCATAACTAAAAGTCAGAAGTGTCACTAGGACTCTTACCAGTTTCAACTTTGTCAGAGGTCTAAGAAGTCAAAAGTGTTGTGGGAGTTCTGAACTCTGTTGCTCAGTGATCCTTGGGGCAAAGGAGGAAAGATAAATGCAATTTTAAAAAAAAGGCCTGTTTAGAGAAAAAGGCTCTTACTCAAGAGAACAGAATCTCTGTCTGTCCTGGGAACAGACATATCAATGGTGACATGTGAGTATCCTGGCCAAGGAACCTGGTCTGTGATACCCAAGAAATAGCAACACAGGACAATTATAGATCACCTGTAGCTGACTGAGTGCATATTGCAGACAAAACTGGAAAAAATTAAGGCTCCTTCCCGCCCTGTCTTTCTATACTGTGAACTGCCTACAATGCGTAGAAAATGAATTCACATTCTTACACAAGAGCTTCAACAATAAAAAGTCTGAGCTGCAAAAGGACACTTCTTCCCTTGTTTCTTTTTCCTTCTTGATAACCACTAAAGCCAGGCCTGGAATACCTGACACACCTGGACGTGGAGGCAGGAAAGGGGATGCAGAAACAATGTAATTATCATCCCAAAGAATTATGTTAAATTGAAATAGGCTTTGTGCCCATGTTCTCAAGAGATTAGGGATTTCTATTAGAGCACACCACGGAATACTCACACTACTTCTTTCAGGTCGTACAAATCTTAAACCTGGAAAAGAAGAGTCCTGTTATGCAGGGTCACACCATTTTATCCAGATCTTCTATTTTGGTTGAACTGGAATAACTACAGTAATCTGGTTTCACCAAATTTCAGTTCATTATCCATATTCTTCATTGTCTGGTCTGTGGCCAGTCAAGATATTTATTGCTCATCAATCAATAAGATTGATTAATTCAGTACCCATTGCTAATGTCAACTACTGTCACAGAAGGAAAACTTTCACCCTTTTTCTGGGGGCCCCACCGTTTCTGTGCTGTGACTACAGCTGCTGGTAAAGCTGGTTAGTGAACTCAAGTAATGCATACGCCCCACTTCACTTATACATTCCCAGTAAAAGCCAGAGAGACTGGAGGACTCTTGTTCACTGGATATTTTTACTTCTTTCTCACTGACCAATCAAGTCCAGACTAGAAGGGGTGGTAAGACTGTCTTCCCATCCCTGGGCAGCAGAGCCAGAATTAAATGATCAAACCAATTCCCAATTAAATAGGGAGAGGCAAGCCTAAGCCACGGGATATGCTGTTCTAAACAGAAATAAGTAGCCTGAGAAAAATGGAAAGAAATTCTTAATGACTGGAGAATAAAGCAAATAACACATTAATACAGTGATGCATTTAAAGAAAACCAAATTAAAAAGTGAAACCAAAAATTGGCATAGACTAGTAAAGTGATTGCATTAATATACTCTTCAACCTTTCCCTATGTGCAGTGTTAGCTGTTGGCATCGCACCTGACACACACAGCTACAGCCAATGACCTATAACTCAGCTCTCACAAATATGCAAATATGCAAAGGAGAGCGATCTACTTAGAAATTCGATGTTCATTATCCTCCCCAAATTTTATACCCACACATCTGGTCTGTCTTCATTCACATGATGCAAATTAATATATGTGTGTGGAAATTACAAAATCACTAACACTGCCACAATTAGGTCCATTACCATAAATAGCAACACCGGCAGCTGTTTGCCTAATTTACTTCCTAAATATAACCCCAGTAGCAAAGACACTAAGAACAACAATTAATAAATGGGACCTCCTGAAACTGAGAAGCTTCTGTAAAGCAAAGGACATGGTCAACAAGACAAAATGACAGCTTACAGAAAGAGAAAAGATCTTCATCAACCCCACATAGGACATAGAACTGGTTTTCAAAATATACAGAGAACACAAGAAACTTTGCATCAAAATAACAAATAATCCAGTAAAAAAAAATACAGTACAGACCTAAACAGAACTCTCAAATAGCTGAAAAACACTTAAGAAAATGCTCAACATTGTTTGCCTTTAGGGAAATGTTGGAAAGGATGTAAAAAAAGGGGAACACTCCTCCAAGGATGGTCGGAGAGCAATCTTGTACAGCCACTTTGGAAATCAGTATGGCAGTAATCTCAGAAAACTGAGAAACAACCTACCTCGAGACCCAGCAATACCATTCTTGGGCATATACCCAAAGGATGCACATTCATATTACAAGGATGTTTGCCTGACTATGTTCATAGCAGCATTATTTGTAACAGCCAGAACTTGGAAACAACTTAGATGCCCCTCAGCATCTGGAAAGATGCCCTGGAAAGAGAAAATAGATAGGATCTCCTGAGTAAATTAGGAGTGCTGGGGTAGGCGAGAGAAGTGTGAAGAAGAAAGGGGAGAACATGAGAGAACCAAATGGCTGAGTTAATGAAGGGAGAAA